TGTGAATAAATACAGATTCCTGCATTTGGTACCAGACTCCATCGATCAGATGGCCTGATGCTGCAGTGACCTAAGCCATATTTAAAAACATACCACCCCAGGTGATTCTGACGGAACAGCATCAGTCATAGATCTACATTTGGGAAATAGTTACCTAGATGATATTTGGAGCCAGGAGAGCCATGAGGTGGAAACACAAGGAAAAAATGCAGTTGCCCAATCTTCAGTGTCCCACGATTATGAGACATTCACACGAGTCTCTTTTTTTATCTAGTAGCGAGTTTACCTAGTATTGAGGGTGGGACGAGATACAGGAATCACACCCACTCTCCTATCTCTGGAATGTACATTCTGGAATGAATCAGGGGACTTCCTAGATTACAAAACAGATTTCCTTGTTCCGATATACTTGGGAAATTCACTTTGGGGGAACTCACCAGGGAGAGAATCTTCTAGATTCTTCTAGAGGTCTCTCCCAGTGAGGTTAGGTTGTAGAGCTGAGGAGGCGGCCAGACTCCTGTTTCTTTGCTTCGTTTCCGGGAAGCCACAAGGTGGAGCTAGATTTCTAAGTCTGTGTTCTTTAGCGCTTGAAGGACACAAAAGCTGTGATTGTTCACAGCTGCTTCCTTTTGACCCCTCAGCTCTCCCTGTCCTAATAAATCCAAATTTAGAGAACTGCAGTGTCTCTGTGATTGGGCTGCCCTACTTGAAGCAGCCTAAATCCAGAAGCTATGAAACTTTCCTAGTATGAAGGAAACGGGATCTGAATTCCCGTGAACTGTTAAAAGAATAAATTGGATTTTAGCAAACTTAAGGGCAAAAACAGATAAAAGCTAAACATGGAGATTAACACAGTTGCATAAAAGAGATCCCCATGTACCACTAGCAACATAGATCACAGCATTCCAGAAGCCATCAGCTGCAACATATGTTTTCCTTATTGGTTTCTCTCCTTTCTTCCAGTTACATAACCAATATCTTGATTATGGCAATCAGTTCATCACTTTCCTTAGTAATTGTACTACATAGGTCTATATCTCTAAACTGTACAGTTGAGGGGCGTCTGGGTGTCTCAGTCGTTTTAAGTGTCCTTGATTTGGTCATGATCTCATGGTTCGTGGGTTTGAGCCTCCTGTCCGTGCAGAGCCTGCTTGGGATTCTCTCTGCCCTCCTCTGCTTGTGCTCTCTCCCTCTCTAAAGAAATAAGTAAGTAAGTAAATAAATAAAAATAAACTATAGTTCAACTTTATTAATTAAAAAATTTAAAAACGTAAATGGAACGCTGTACATACTATTGTCTTTTCATTTTGTCTATGTGATATATCTTAGATTCATGTTGTGGTTTTTAAATATTTTATAGCTGGATAGTAATTTACTATTACTACACTTTATTCTGTTAATGAACTTTAGGGTTGTTTATAGTTTGGGGTTATAGTAAACAATTCTACAGTGAACATTTGTGAAAACGTGTGCTGTTGACATGAATAAAATTGAGGGTATGTGGGATTGCTGGATATAGGAGTCTTTTTTTTTTTTTTTTAGATTTTTTTATTTTTAAGTGATCTCTATCTACACTGAGCATGGGACTCAAATTTACAACCCTGAGATCAAGAGTAGCATGCTCTTCTGAGTGAGCCAGGAGGTGACTTTTTTTTTTCTTAAAAAAGTCTTAACAGGAATTTCAAGTTTTCACAAATGTAAATAAAATTATATAATGAATCCACAAGATTCACGGATTATAAATATTTTGCTGATTTCATTTTCTTTTCCCCCTTGTTCCTACTCTGGAATATTGAAAAGCAAATGTAAAATATTCTATCATAAATTACTTCATTCTGTATCTCTAAACAGATGGGGGCTTTGCAAATAACCACAATAACACTAACACACCCAAACAAACAAGAATTCTTTATTTTTTTAACGTTTCTTTATTTTTGAGAGACAGAGAGCAACAGAGAACGAGCAGGGGAAGGGCAGAGAGAGAGGGAGACACAGACTCCGAAGCATGCTCCAGGCTCTGAGCTATCAGCACAGAGCCCAATGTGGGTGTCAGACCCACAAATCATGAGATCATGACCTGAGCCGAAGTCGGATGCTTAACCGATTGAGCCATCCAGGTGCCCCAATAATTCTTTAACTGGACTGATCTTTCTTGGCCACCCTAATCAGGTTTCCACATATACACCAAGAAGAGTTGTTTTCCTAAGAGATGTAGCAATGGACTTTATAGCCCCAGCAATAAATAAGAGCAAGAAAATCAACTAAATTATATGTTATCTTTTAATTTACCCTATAGATAAACCGACACACATGCAAAGGGACATGTGTTTGCATAGTTATTCATAGTAACCTTGTTGGTAACAGCAAAAGATATTAAAAACAATTTAACCAAAAGGCCAGAGAAGTGATCAGAAACAATTCAAATGGTCATTAATATGTAACTGATTTAATAAGTCTGTTACATCAATCCAATGGAATAGAAGCATTAAAAAGAATGAGGAAGCTCTTTATGTGCTGAGAGGATGCGGCCGTAGCGTCTTATTGCCCATAATTTACTTGCATCTATCTGAAAGGATGGCTGAGAAAAGTATTATTTTAGATGGATGAATTCCCACCTACTTCTTGTAATGGAAGGGGATCAATATTGGGTAGGAAGCTGGCAGTCTCTACCACATTCTACCCTTCTGTCCCCTCAACACCCCTGTATTCTCTTCCAAACAAAAGTAGTCCCATGCTTCCCAAGGGCAACAGCCCTAATGGTTTATTTCAGAGTTTAATTCAATCAGGTCTAGAAGTGTTTCTTTGTCATAAGCATTCCATAAACTTAAAAGAATCCTCAGCTTCCAGAGACCCAATACACAATGGTACAGTAGGAACTGGGCATACACAATGAAAACTTCCAAGGAGGGGGCACCTGGGTGGCTCAATTAGTTAAGCACCCGACTTCAGCTTGGGTCATGATCTCATGGTCCACAGGTTGGAGCCCCGTGTTGGGTTCTGTGCTGACAGCTCAGAGCCTGGAGCCTGCTTCCGATTCTCTGTCTCTCTCTGCCCCTCCCCTGCTCACGCTCTGTCTCTTTCTCTCAAAATAATAAATAAACATTAAAAAGTTAAAAAAGAAAACTTCCAATGAGGAACAGAAAAATAGGATATAGCAGGCACTATCATATTATGAATAACCAAGGCCAGTGAGCAGGAATAGTAAGAATTCCCTGCCCAGCGAAGGAAGTTTCTTTTTTTTTTAATAATGTTTATTTATTTTTGAGAGAGAGAGACAGTGTGAGCTAGTGAGGGGCAGAGAGAGAGAGACAGACAGACAGACAGGATCTGAAACAGGCTCTAGGCTCTGAGCTGTCAGCACAGAACCTGATGCAGGGCTTGGACTCAAGAACTGTAAGATCATGACCAGAAGTGAAGTCAGACGCCCAACCAACTGAGCCACCGCCCTGAAGGAAATTTCTTAATTTGCCAGTTTTGAAGCACTGGTTCTATTGAGGGGATGTATACCATCCTTTGTGGCTCCTAGCTTTGCACTCTTGCATTTCTTACTTGTTCCTTATTTTCTATGGCCACACCTTAGTTGGACACTGAAGAGTGTACATTTCTTAGGAACTAAAAAGCATTTCTAGGAGTCAAAAAATGCAGATGAAATGGGTATACTGCTCTGGAAATGCAAAATGTTAGGGGTGATATGAGCAAAAAGATGAAGGAGGATGACAGGAAAGCAGTGAATTTGGTGAAGGACTTTTGAATTTTTTAAAAAAAATTTTTTTTGATGTTTTATTTATTTCTGGGAGAGAGAGAGAGAGAGAGACAGCGTGAGCAGGGGAGGGTCAGAGAGAGAGGGAGTCACAGACTGAAACAGGCTCCAGGCTCCGAGCTGGCAGTCAGCACAGAGCCCGACGCGGGGC